CAGAGGTACGGTTAATTACCCTTTTTGTCTTTTATTAGATGGGATGAAAGACACATCTTGAAAATGCCTAAAGAAAGTTGTCATTTTTTCATGGTGAAGGGACTGGAGTCCGTGTTGATGAAAAAACCTTGCTGGCTGTGGTGACTGGCAGTGGCTGCAGCAGTGTGGTGATGGGGCTGGTGCCTTCCCCTGATCAGCTCGATCACCTCCCACAAAGGGAGGCCAGACTGCGGCTTAGGCCCTATCCCCAAGGGGAGCAGGGAGCGGGCCTAAGCCGTCACTAGGACATCCCCTGAGGGCTCCCAGTATGTGAGAGGGGGCAGGCTGGGCTGAGGGACACCCCCTCCTCCAGTGCATGAATTTCGTATAACAGGCCCCTAGTATTTCAATAATTAGATTCAACCCAGGGAGCATTTTCTCATTTTTGGACCTTAAAAAATTATAAAACATACTTCGATGCATTCTAAAGTTATCTGAGATCTCTAGAGGCACTTCAGATAATAGGAAAAATGATACTCAGAGATTGGTATCTTGCATACATCTTTTCTTATCTGCAGTAGTCATCAGTTACAAATAGAATCTTTAAATATGTGGTGGTCCTTGTTAAAAGTAGAGCACCAAGCTTGATGTGTGTCCTAATCTAGCATTAATATTGAGAAAGTGTCTTATGTTTACTTTTCATTGTTCCTTACAGGCATTGCTTCTATGACGGTGCCAGTGTATATTGCTGAGGTCTCACCACCCAACTTAAGAGGTCGATTAGTCACCATTAATACCCTCTTCATCACAGGAGGCCAGTTCTTTGCAAGTGTTGTTGATGGAGCATTCAGTTATCTCCAGAAGGATGGATGGAGGTCTGTAAACAATTCTTACAGTTAATTTTCAAATAATTCATGATATTAGGGGATGGGAGGACACTGAGAAATGAGAGGAAAAGGATAACGGAGTATTTTGAATCATTATAGCAAATTTCTAAGAGGGTGGCATTCAGCAAAATTGAAAGTGGACAAGAAGTTGATACTTATTTTAATGACAGAGGAGGAACCTACCATTCAGAATTGATATTTACAGAGATTTTTAGCATTTAGGTGACATTTCTCACACTGTGTGTAATCTTTTGCAATATTTGTTTAAAAATGAATGCAGCAATAAATATGCATGGAGTTCTTGAATGGTATCAGTGATTAACAAGCTGTTTATGAACTGCAGATAAAGCTAACATCTTTTGGATTTAGGAGGCTACACCTTCTGATCTGAATGAAAGAAAACCCAGTCTTTAAAACTATAGATTTAGCTATCTACACTAATAAAAGAGAAACATGGTAATTGGCGTACGACCGCTACCCTTTTCATTGACTAATCAGCGAGATATGCAAATTAACTGTCAACCAAGATGGCGGCTGGCAGCCAGGCAGCTTGAAACTAACATGGGGCTTGCTTGCCTCAGTGACGGAGGAAACCAACGTTCCCTGCCTGCGGCTGCAGGCCTCTAAGCCTGCAGTTTGAAACTATGTAAAAAATACCGCCAGACTTCAGCCAGCAGGATTGCAACATTGTAAACAAAGGCCAGAAACCTACTTTTAGCAGTGGAGGCCTAAGAGCTGGAGCCTAGCCTCAAGCTAAAGCTGGCTCAGAATTAAAAAAAAAAAGGAAAAAAGGAGCGGTTGGGAGCTTCCATCACC